CATGCACATGCCACGGCTGCGTAGACCTTCCCCTTCCCATGCTTGCTCGGGCCTCGGCTGCATAGACCTTCCCATGCTTGCTCAGGCCTTGACTGCATAAGCATTCCCATGCATGCACATGCCACGGCTGCATAGACTTTCCCATGCTTGCATGGGCCTCGTTTGCATAGCCCTATGCATGGGAAGCTGTTTTAAGGAAGCGGTTTCTTCCTTTACAGTTGCCTTTGGCATCCATTTCCCTGCCCTATGAGGCTTTTTGTGGGGGGGGGGTCCCACTTCTTTCCCCTCATTTCCAGCCAGTCTTAGCTTATCCCCACCTGGTCTAGCATAAAGTGAGGAATGAGAAATGTTTTCTCCATTCTCTCCCTCATCTATTTATTTACTCAAAAAAGCATTAGATAAGTCCTATGCTATGTAGACTGTAGACCCTGCTCTGGACTTAGAGGGTAAAGTTGTGACCAAGCCAGAGGATCTCTGTTGTTGATGCAGACAGCAGGGAGGCAGGAGGGCGATACACTAAAGTAGTCACCCTTGTCCTTTCAGGATGACCGAAAGTTCCAAACGCTGTGTATGTATACCCTTTCCTGCACATACATGTAAACGTGTACACTTGTTCACATTAGATTGGGCACAATAAAAGATCAGTAGCAACAGTTACAAACAACAACTTCAGCAACGCATGGTGGGAGGAAGCTTTGGTCCACCAAGAAGAGGATGCCTGGTAGCTGTCTGAAGATGCTAAGAGAGCACAGAACCCCAAACTGTGCATCAGGAGCGAGATATCCCAGCCAGGATGGGTACCAGAGAAGAAGGCAGAGGTCAGCGGGTTATGGAAAAGCCCTGGGTGAGGCAGAGGAGGAAGACCTGGGAACACGAGAGAAGAGATCCTTACGGATGGGAGACACCCAGGTCAGAGGCCTGAGACAGGAGGAAGGCAAGGGTACTCTGAGGGACGCCCACCCTAGGATCCCAGCCTTATTCTTTGGGTGACGAGGAGGAAATATGAATTCCTAGTGATTCTTGAGACTTCTAGGATGGACTTAGGGAATACTGAAGACTCCAACTGCTCCCTGAAGGAGTGGTGAATGGGGATCAATAAGAAAAGTCACTTTCATAAGCACATGAAGCCCAACTGTCTGGGCTGGACCCAGGTCCCACATCTCCCAGGTCCGACCAGTGTCACCTCCACTAAACACAAGCATTGTCTTTCTGGGAATATGATTCAAAGGTTCAAACAGATCCTGGGTAATGCTGAGGGTTTCACAGGTCGGGGAACAGACTGGAGAGATAGGATCTCAAAGCCTCCTTCCAGGAGCCACGCTCACCCTCCTGGTCAGAGTCACTAGAATCGAGAGCAGCCTCCAGCCAGGCTCTGTATCTGGGAGCCATGGTTACGGCTGCTGCTTGATTGGCAGGGCTTCCAGATGCTTGCCAGTCCTACGCTGATGCCTAGAGGTTGCCGTAGAAGCAGAGGCAAAGGCCAGGGGACATACCAGAGGTCACCAGTTGCCACCGGATACTAACCGTTAATCTTTCTCTCCCAAGCGATTCATTTCTGCGTGGCATATCAATGCGAGATCCCTTTTAGAGCTCTGAATTAAAAATAAATTTGCAAGCACGTAACCAGATGTTACATGGGGAAAAGATAAATAACTCAGCCTGTCAAGGAACTGCCTCATCTCAGTCAACCCTCTCTCTTTCACAAGGTTTTAATTTTTAATTTCACAGCGGTAACTATAGCAACCTGCAAAAATAATATATTCCATAGCAAAACAACTTTCTTGGCTCAGGCTTGGCATCTCCATGTTCCTGCATTCTCTCCTCTCTACCAACTTCATGCAGTCTGTGCCCAGTGTTGAGCATTCTCAGCTTTGGTTTCCCATTCATCCATCCATGCATGCAAACATGCATGCATGCATCCATGCATCCATCCAGTTATTCTTAAGTATCATTGCCACTCAAAGCCATGTAACCGCTGACTCTGGGTACCATGGTGCTGGGCAGCAGATTCAGTTTCCTTAGAGATGCCATACTGTCCCGACCTCATTGCATTCCAGGCTTTGAGTACTCAGGAGAGTTTGCCTGTACTTTCAGGGGAGGGGGCAGTTTATCCCACGATCAGTGCTGGATACTGGAGTGAAGGAGAAGAGGACTAAAGTCAAGGATCCAGGTTCAAATGGAGGTGACCCCAGAGTAGAGTGCTCCAGTCTGGAAAGGGGACGAGACACTGTTGACCAGTTACCACCCTAGGCAACCGGAGTCTTACCACACTGGGAGTTCTGAAGACAGTTCCTGGCATGCCCCAGAGTTGGAGAGACATGTCCTCACTGATCAGAAGCTGCTCCTTAGGGGACGTTAGTTCTCAGGGGGTCTTGGGAGCAGAGCAGCTTCCAATGCCAGAGAGTTCTCACAGAGATTCATGTTACCCCTCTGAATCAAAAGCAGGCTACTTATTACACGTTGTAAAGGGCTTGGGTTCCTTAAGCTTGTTACTTCTTTAATATGATGTGACATATTAGACTGTGGAGGGATTACATGGCTCTTTCTCTGTCATACTGTGAGAATTGGAACTTTGGGAACCAATGTAAAAGTACTGATAATGTGGATTAAAAAAAAAAACTAGGCTTCACTTATAAGGAAAAACACAAACAAACAAACAAAAAACCCCCAAAACAAAGACTTGCAGATGGGCATCTGGACACAGACCCTGTAACAGGAAAGAAAGGCGAAATAGGGGTTGGGGGGGGTCACAAAAACATTGAGTCAGTTGGCTTCTTGCTGCTCAAATTCTTTCCCTTGGGGGAGATGTAACCGATGTCTACCCCTTCTCCATAGGTCCCAAAGTAGGTCAAGCTATGGTTCCACCAAAGTTCACTCTGTTAGCCAGACATACAGCACAGTGGGTGGGAGGTTACAGGCAGGAGCACAGATCTTAAAGCAGCCACACTAGGTCTGAATCCAGCAGGGATGTTGACTCTCTCACGACTATGTAACTGAGGTTCCCCCTCTAGTCTACCCCACCTGCACACTTTAGCCCAGTGGCTCTTACCCTTTCTAACACTGTGACCCTTTAAGACAGTTTCTCATGTTGTGGTGACCCCAACCATAAAATTATCTTTGTTGCTACTCTATAACTGCAATGCTGCTACTGTGATGAACCATAATGTAAATATCGTACATGCAGGATGTCTGATGTGCAGCCCCGGTGGAGGTTGTGACTCAGGCTGAGAACAACTGCAGCCCTTCCTGAAACTTCAAGGCCACATGCAATTAGAGCAGACCTGCAAAGAGCTGGCTTGGAAGAGGGGTTGGCTACTAGGGTGACCAGCTCATAACCTTCATCACCTCCCCTTCCTTCGAGGAAGGAATGTCAGGAGTCAACAAGCCTAGCTATGATAATCTTCTGTGAACAGGTCCAGCCCTCCTGAAGATGGCAGTTATGTTGATTGGAGGATAGTCTTGTACAAGTCAGAGGGACAGGAAGTGGTCTTGGTGAACGCCTGACATCTGTGATGCAAGCAGATGCCCTGGAAGCCAGGTGATAAAGGCTTGACCAAGCCAACATGGCCCAAGCGAAGGCAGACCCCAGGCCATTCTGGACCCACGCTGTTAAAGGACTCCTGGGGCCGTGGCCAGCCCAGGACAACCTCCTAAGTCCTGCCGAGAGTAGGAACAGAGCCGTCCCCTCTGCCTCTGATGAAAACGGAAATGTCGCAAGCAAACGTGTCGAGTGATGAAATGCTCTTAAACAGACACACTCTGTGAAGATACAACACTGTGGTGTTGGCAAGGAGGTACTAAGTCATCTCTCTGGGCCTCAGTTTCCTCTTCTGTAAGATGTGCTTCACAGAAGTGACTATTGCACTTACTTTATTGTAAGTGCATTAGATATTACGCATATTAGATGTTACGCATATTAGATGTTACGCTTTGACACCTACTAATTGCCTAATTTTCTATGACTATTATATTTTTTTTTTTAGTACACAGCATAGGTACTCAGCCATGGGGATCAGCAATGGCCAAACAGGCATGAGTCCTTTCTTTGTGCTGCATACAGGCTCGTGGGCATGCTCAAATGCTTCATACAGAAATCTGGAGAAAACCAGATAAAAACTTATTAAGTCCACCCTCATTCATTTAAACACTCATAAGGCTGAAGGAGTGCACACCAACATAGGCTCATTGAGGTCACACATTGGAGGTGGCTTGCATTTTTGCAGTGATTGTGTGTTTATGTTTGCACTGAACTGTGATGTTTCACATCATCATTTTTGAAAAAAGAAGGAAAATGAGTATATTCCTGTCTCTGGCCCCCCATCACAAATTCCACCAGCTTCCCCAGAAAAGAGCACTACCACTCTGAGGGGACACACAGCGTGTACCTCTGATGGGTCACTTCAAGGCACTGTTGAGGAAAGGGAGATCTCCACCAGAGCCATGTCCTGGACCGACTGGTAAGAGTGGAGGAAGAGTTTCACCCTCTCCTCAACTGGGGCAAGCACCTGAAGACAACCCTGCCAAGCTTTAGGGGAGGCCTGCGCTTCCCAGTGTCTGCAGAGACAAGGCTGCGGTCTCTGCACCACTTGGGTCAGCCCTGCGTGTCTGCCTGTCCAAGCCATGTTCTCCAGGCAGCTGACTGTGACAAGCTGGCACTTTGTTCTTCTCCGGGTTCCTGTGACCGACTATTCTGAATACAAACCAGGGAAGGAAGCAAAGACTGTTAACACTGAAAAATCGCACGGTCCACCTCTGTCTTCTATTAGGAGTTTTTAAGTGGCCTTTAATAAACATGTTAGCCACCTACATTTGTCATGTCCTCTGTCCCCTTTTGACTTCTAGGATCGTGTGGTAGGCCAGCTGTTCTTAATTCTCACAAGGTGCCCACTGTGGGCTCCATAGTTGTTGCCTTACAGACTTTTCCTGGGGAGACATAACACACACACATCTACTCACCCAAAGTATGAATGAATACCACTGATGTCCAACTTAGTGAACCAACGAGTTTTATTGGGGTTATTTATAGGAATATAACTGAGGGACTGATTATAGGAACAGATAGGATTCAAAGACAGCCACATCACCAAAGCCCAGCCAATGTGGGTGACAATTCACAGAGCTGGAAGAGTGTGCGGCGTAGCCTGCAGCAGCTCAACAGGTTGGAACGTATCCTTTCCAGGTGGCTCAGGTTGGTCTGATCCTCTTCCAGGCAGCTTTGCTGGTCTTGGTTCTTCTGGGAAGTTTGGCTGGTCTCTGCTTCCTCCAGGCCTCTCTGGGTCTTGTCTGAGAATCTTTTTTGCTGACTCTCAACGGTCTTTACCATTTAAATGCTCTTGTGGGAGAGTTCTTGTGAATCTGATCATCTTCAGGGACTTGCTGAAACTATTTTGAGTGGTTTGCTTCAGATATTAAGCTTAAACAAGCTTTTGTGGAGAATGTCACTTCCCCTTAGAACCTGCTGTCTTAAGAAGTTTCTCTCCAAAATGGAAAGTCTTAACCTCAGAGAGAATTGCTACACGGCAACAGTCTGCTTGAGACTCTGGGGGGAAGTGTACTTTTCGGCACTATAGGGGTTTTTTGTCAAGATACACAAATGGGGGTGGTCATGAGATCAGTGTAGACACAATGTGCTTTTTCTGGAACTGAAAACTGGACAAACACACGGACACATACTCACTGTGTAGGAGAAAGAAAACCTCTCTCCCAGCCTACTTGATATCTCAGAGCACATAAGCTTGGGGCCCCCTGTTAGTGGTCATTCTCTCTTCTAAATGCTGGAAGTCTGCAAGCAGGATAAAGGAGAGCAGAGATGATGGCCCTGTAGGATCCCTCTATCTAGTCATTCCTAAAACCACCTCTCAAGAACAAAAGCAACCCTTCAAAGTCTGCCCTTTCTCAACGATGAGTTGGGTTTGTCAACAGAAGCTGCAAAAATGGTGATCACCGGGCTGGAGAGATGGCTCGGAGGTTAAGAGCACTGATTGCTCTTCCAGAGGTCCTGAGTTCAATTCCCAGCAACCACATGATGGCTCACAACCATCTGTAATGAAATCTGGTGCCCTCTTCTGGCCTGCAGGCACATATGCAGACAGAACACTGTAAACAAAATAAATTAATTAATTAATTTAAAAAAAATGGTGATCACCACACTGCAATGGGCACCTGCTGGGTGGAGGTCTGTAGCCATCCGGAAGCCATGCCAGCTTCATAAACACATTCCTATCCTCCTTGTTTGAGACTTAGCATCGCTTTCCTCTGCTAAACGCATCTAGAGGAATTGTGGGTACTGATACCCCTATGCCTCACTCCACATTACCTGTGCCCCCACCCAGGCCAGACAAGTCAGCATTGAGGCTCTTCCAAGCAGCCCTAAAATATCTCCCATGTTCTTCCATGCCCTGCCTCTCCTTCTCTCTTTGGGAGGGATACAGAAAATCTAGACAAGAACTCACAATCCTATAAGACGTCAGGGACTATGAGGAGCTGACCACAGCCGTTTCCTTCTTTCACAAATATAATATGGTAACACCTTGGACTCTAGCCTAGAGCTCTCATCACGGGGAAGCCTCAGCTTAATGACCGTAGGTATTTATTGAGCTTCTAGTCTATGCTTGCCTAGTTCTCACCCATGCTTCTCTTCATCTTGCACTGCCCATGACTGCCTCTCTCCTCATCTGTCTTCTCTATAGCATGAATATCCCAAAAGACAGGTCCTTATCTGTCTTCGCCTCTGCACTGTGCTCCAGGTATCCAGTTAATTTCTGGGCACACTGTCAGTGCTTAGGAAATGTTGACAGATTGAATTCGCAAATGACCAGTTGCACCGAGCTGCTGTGAGGCTTACATACGGTTCTGAGGGAGAAGGTACACGGCACACGGGAGGTCTTCAGCAAATATTCACAGAGGGAAAAGCGAGCTAGGGAAGACAAATGTGGGCTGGGCCAGGCTTTCGCGGGAGGGCTTACTTCAGCGACGTTTTATCCTACCTCAGACTCTTCAAAGAACTCATTTCTTCCTGGTCTTTCTGGGTAATCACAGGCTCTGCAAAGGAGCCTCCATCCAGAGGCTCTGGGCTGCGGCAAGGGTGCCACATCACTTCAAGAAATAACTCGTGGAAGGCTTGTGCTGTAAGAGCAGACTTCTCACCCTTGCCTGGGTGTGGGATGCCTGGTGTGCCTTTAGGGAAAGAAATCTTCTCTCAGCTGCAAGTTTTATCTTGAGAAAGGTTAACTCTTTGTGCCCTGTCCTTGTTCCAGACAGGCTACAGAGACTTAGCTCCTGCAGAAGAATGTTCAATGGCCACTCCCTAGCAGGAAAGAGATGGCTGCACCACGGCTGTGGTAAACAGTGCTTACCATCAACCGAAAAACCTGTGGGGGGTTGTTTAGATTAGGTTAGCCTCTGGGCATGCTTATGAGAGATTATCTTGATCAGGTACACTGAGATGAGAAAATCCACTGGAAAAGCGGGAAGCACCATTCCCAAGGCATGGGTACTAGATTGCAGAACTAGGAGAAGGCTGGCTGGGTGCAGGTATTCATGATTTTCCTTTATCCTGACGGCAGAGGCAGTGTGCCCAGCTGTTTCAAGTCCTGACACCTTGATTTCTGCATCATGATGAACTATGCCCTCAAACTATGAGCCAAAATAAACCTTTCCTTCCTTTGGTCAGGGTACTTTATCATAGCAATGGGAAAAGCAACGAGGGTAGTGCCCAGGCAGCATAAAAAGTAGTTCACTGCTTGAGCCCTGGAACCAAGCTGCCTATAGTCGATCCTGGCTTCATGAGACCTGGGACGACTCAGCATCACTAATCTTGATTTCTCACCTATAAAAGAGGATGCTGATATTAATAATACCCACCCTAGAGGGTTGTTACAAAGGTAACTCCGTTGTTTGGATAACTAATGAAATGTTTTCGCATGCCTCTGCTTCCGTTACTAGTATGGTAGCTTCAGAAGATAAACTGATATAAACAAAAACTCTGTTTATTTTGTCCTCATTAATTTTTAAAGGGCCATAAAAGGTTCCCTAAGACCCAAATGTTGGAAACCATTCTCTCTTCAATAAGGATGATCACTCCAACCCTTAGTCCTTACGATTCTTATAACACTTGCCCAACAATGGGGACAGATGTGAAAGTGTCTAGGTCACTTCTAGGAAATCCCCCACTTCCCACTAGACTATGCATTGCCCTGCTTTGTGTTTCACACAAACATGAACTGTGCAATCTTAGGCAAGATACTTCCCCGCCTCGAGCCTGCTTCCTCATCTGTAAACCAGGACTTTAGAATATTTACCTACCTTGTAGTTCATACAAGAATTGGATGGGCCAATGCATCTGCATTATTAATACACACAGTTAACACACCACAGGGTGCTACAGGTGACTGCAGCAACAGAAATTTGTCTTCTCAAAAGTTCTGGAGGGTGGAGTCCAAGATCCACCTGTTAGCAGAAGTAGTTCCTGTGGGGTTCTCTTCCGTTGGCTTTCAGAAGGCCATCTGCTCCCTGTGGCTTCATAGGTCACCCCTCAGTGTATGTCTATGTCCTGACCTGCTCTTCAAATAAAGACATCATGGTGTGGATTAAGGGTCTCCCATTGACTCATTTTAACTTAATTACCTCTTTAAAGACCCTGTCTCCAAATACAATCACATCCTAAAATACTAAGATGTAGGAATGGGGGAAAAGAAGTGGGAAAGCCCACAGTTCAGTTTATTAAAGCATCCAAAAACCTTCTTCCCTGGGGCCTCAACTGTACTTCTTTCTCCTCCATCAACCTAGAGCTCTAGCCATTAGTTTGGACCATTAAACCCTGCCATTGGGTACCTCAGGAGAGGGAATGAGCTCAGGCAAGGCTGTTCTCTACTGGACAGCCCCAAAGGGAGCTCTCTGCTGACATACTGGGCACCGAGCACAAACACAGCCTTACCTGCACCTTTGCCTTTTCCGAGCCTTGATTTCCAAAACTGCAAAACTGGAGAATGTGACTTGTAATGAAAGCAGTGAACTTCAGCCTCTGCTGTCATCTTTATTTGTGTAGGGACCACAAACGCTAAGTACACATTAGGAGGGAGGTGCGGTGCTAGAGATGCTGTGAAAATCCTGTCCCTGCTGGAGCTGATGCTATCCTGGGGACTGGAGACAACCAGGAACTAAACAAACAGGCAAGCGAAATGCATAGCATGTCAACAGTGATTAAGTACTGTGAAGGAACAACAATTAAACCAGAGAAGGGGAGTAGGGAGTGTGCCAAGTGTGGCAGTGGTGTGCACTTGGAGCAAGAAAGTCCTATCTGTGAATACGGCAAGGTAAGGGTGTCTTGGCATCTCATGGCTATCTCTGGGCAGTGCCTTACAGGCAGAAGGACAGTGAATGTGCCCCGCACACCCACAAAAGTGTTGCTCGAGCTGAATGAGTAAAGAGTGCCCTGACCACAGGAGAAGTAAGAGAACCAGCTCCATTCAGCCAGGACAGAACTTCCCAGACCACCAAAAGGACCTGGCTTTTCCTGTGTGCACAATGGAGAGCACCGGAGTATCCTGGGATCAGCAGGGAGTGTAACCCTTATCAGAGTGTAACCAGATGACCAGATGAGATTGCATCAGATTCCCAGCTCCAGATGTCTACTCCAGCCCCCCAATCCTACACGGTGCCACCCAGCTACCTGCTGCTGTAGCTTCCACCCACAGTCATGCTCCTAGCCTGTCAGCCTTTCTCCTGATCCCTCAAACCTCACTCTACTTACTTACTCCTCTGGAAACCATTGTAGAGCCCTAACTCTGCTCTCACCGACCCCCTCCACTTCCAAGAACCAAGAGATAGTTAGGAAACACGTCTGAGAACCCAGGCGTGGGGTTGAAATTCTCTCTCTCTCCTTAGAGTCTCTGGGGCCCATCTCTGAACATGTGAGCAAATGACAATGCTAGACCCAGGGTAAACTGAGTCCCAGATGTTGGGTTCTGTAAAATGCAGCACAGTACAGTCATGGAGGTAACAGACGTCAGCACTTTTAGCCGGTCTGTGTTTGGCAATAGCAAAACCAAGAAACTATTGCCACCAAGAGAAAAATCTATGATCACAAGGTTTGTTTGTCCACTGGCTGCCCCACCCCCATCCCAAGTCCACTCGTATTCAAGAACTGAGACTGAGAGGAATATAGCTGCCCACTACCATTCAAACTTCGCTGTCCACCTGCTCCCACACAGTTGTGACATGAAAAGAAAGAGCCCATACAGGATACAATCTTGGGAATGTATCTGGAGTATTCAGTACACATGGCCACGACCCCAGCAGCCATGTCACACGGGTAGGGTACCTGGCAGATGCCTGATAGACACGGCAATGCTCTTGGTGAGTTGTAGCCACCTCTGTGCCAGAGAGACTTAGAAATGAACTCCTGTGAGTCTCAAGACAGAGAATTCCCTTAGAAGTCCAGCCGTTTATATCAGTAGTAGTAGTAGTTGATCACTGGTTCTGTCCCATGCATGATTCCGCTTAGCAGAATCCACTGGCTGCCTCTCCTCCCCCTTGACCCAGTCATTCAGTCGAGGGCAAAAAGTGATAAGAGCCCCTCCCCCATCTAGGTAGTAAGTGCTAGAGCCAAGATTTGAAAGTGAGTCTGAGCCCTTGAGCTTTTTCCCTGAGAGGCAGCCTAGTGATTAAAGTCAGAGCCCCTCCAGAGCAGCCACAAGGGTTCAAAGGTAATCTGTTCCCTCTTCAATATCCTCATCCAGAAAATCTTGGGACCTCCTTTGAGAAACTGCTTTGGGGATTAAGGAGGAGCCACGTTTAGAGTGACATCTAACTTTAGGTAGCCATCTTCTCTGAAAGCTTGCTCTAATCATCCCACATGTCCCTCCTCATGGCAAAGGGCATCTCTACCCACTGTCTCTGCTTCTCCTGCTCTCTTACATTTTTTGCTTGTTGCCATCTTTTCAGGGGCATATGCCTTGCTTTAAAAATCCTCTCATGGCTAATTTCTTCCCTTTCTTGCTCCTGTCTGGGCACTAAACCCTAACCCTACGTTTTCCTGCTGCATAAACCCAAGCTGAGCCCAGGATAGCCATTCTAACCAGTGCTATTTTCAAATGTAGCCTTCTAGAATTTTTTCCTGGAGAACTCCCTAAGTGCAGTGTGGTTCCACTCAAGAGCATCAAATTCTGTAGGCCAAGGTGTGGTCAGGGAATCTGCATTTTTAACCAGACCTTCATAAGAGAGAGAGACTGGCTTTTGGATTGTACTCTGGGAAGCACCCATCTCCCTCAGTTTCCTCATTTGTAAGAGGAATGTACAGAACTTCCCTCCCAAACGAAATGATTTATCTACAAACAAACATCCTTTATCCTGGCTTAGTTTCTGTATGATTGCTTTTTGTCTGTCCTTCCCATTCTGTTTCTGTTGGGTTCGGATTCTTTTCCTCAGTCCCTACTCTTTACCTGAAGCAGACCCAACTCCAGAGTGGAAATGGAAAATCCGAGCAAGGTGTGGAGTCGGGTGGGGTTTCTGTGAGGGCTGGAGACTCCCAAACCACCTAAGTGACCCTTCTCACTCCTGGAAGCCTGCACCCAGCAGTCCCTTACGATGGAGCATCCCGCCCCTGCAGCCTCCACAGCCAGGAAGCCCAGGGAAGAGGAGGAATCTATTGTGCAGGAATGGCCTGCTGCTATGGAAACCAGCGCTCGGGAAACTCAGCAAAGATCCATTCTGGGGAGCCCGGTTGCCTTGGGGGAGGGGAAGAGGCCAAACTGCGTCTCGGACTTTGCCCTCCCATTACCCATCCTGTGATGCCGGGCAAGTCACTTAACCTCTCTGAGCCCTCCTTTCCCTCACCGGCCTGGGAGCAGCAGCCCCCATTAGCAGCAGATAATCCCAGCCACCGATGACTGAATGTCGCGCTGCGGCTTTCAAGACTGAAGATGGGCCAAATTGCTGTGAGCTTGCTTTCATTACCGCAAGCTCAAAATATTCCAGTGCCAGCTTGCTGCGCGACCCTGTGCCACGGAGGACCGGCAACGATTGCCATGATTGAATTCCCTCTCTCGGAGGCACTGGGTCCACCCTTAACACACACACTACCATACACACGCAGACGCAGCGTGCACACAGGTGCTGAGCTCGGCTGCCCACAAGAAAGCTCCGTGTCTGCAGGGAGCTCTCGCTCTTAGTATCTCTGCCATCTGCAGCGCCATGGTCAGGACGGTCTGAGGGCTTCCCTAGACTACATACTTCAGAAGGCCTAAATTCAAGCCCCAAAGCCTGACCTTGGAGGCTCTTAGCATCTCTGCCCTGCCCCTCCCTCCTCCATACAAATAAATCTCTGGATTTATGAGACCCTTTCCCAAGAGGCAAAAGTCATATCTACAAATCACCCAGCACCTGGCCTACTTAGGTCCCTGTGAGGCTAGCAAAGGCAGAGGCCAAGGGCACAGACACTCAAGGGGTGGAAACTGTCACCACCCACCCAAGGAACATCACTGAAAATTTTACCTGCTGTGCCTTGACTTCCTAGTACACACCTCCCTGTCCACAGTAATAGGTCACACACTTGAGCTCAACACATATAGCCATAGCGCATACAGATCCCCCCATGCACTGCGAGCTCCCATTCGCCCAGTGTCGTCGATGTGGGAGTCCCCTCTGTGTGCTGTGATTACCATTAATGAATAAAGAAACTGCCTTGGCCTGTTGATAGGGCAGAGCTTAGGTAGGCGGGGAAGACGGAACTGAATGCTGGGAGGAAGAGGCTCGGAGTCAGAGGAACGCCATGGAGCTGCCAGAGAGACGCTGGGAATCTTACCACTGCCACGTGGCGATATACAGATTAATAAAAATGGGTTAAATTAATGTAAGAGTTAGCCCATAAGAAGCTAGAGCTAATGGGCCAAGCAGTGACTTAACGAATACAGTTTCTATGTGGTTATTTTGGTTTGGGGCAGCCAGGATGAACAAGCGGCCCTTCCAGCTACATGTCGGGACTCTCCAAAACTGCTGTGTACCTTGCTTGCCACCTCCTTGACTTCGTTGATATGGTTCCCTTGCCCATAAAACCCTGCTGCATGGGTTTCTCCAGCACTCTTGAGATCCCCTAGCACCGCTAATGGCCCTCAATTTACAGAGAACTTGAGCTCAAGATCACACTGGGTATGTGGCCAACGAGTCTGCTTCAGAACATATAGCTTCCAGGAGACACGGGGTCCAGCTGCTCCAAAGAACATCCGTGTATGCACTCCTTCCACCAGCCCGGCTGTTTGTTTTTTTAACAAACAGCTCCAGGCAGATGGTTCAGTGCTGAGGACCCAGGAATGAGCAAGGCCAGCTGAGATAAGAGCATGCAGCCAAGAGAAGCATACAGATGTTAAACAGGTGATTACAAGCAAGGTGGGTGCTGCAAAGACCTCCAGGAGTGACATAGAGGGACACCACCACTTCCCATTCGTATGAGGTTCTGTAGCTGTAGGGTTGGGCCTCGGGGGCCTCTGGGGCCTCTGGGGCCTCTGGGGCCGGCACAGAACCACTTCAAAATGTCCCAGGTCCGCAGACTCTGTACCTGGGGGCAGAGGACACTCTGGGGGCTCAGAGAAGCACAAGAGAGACCTGAGTTGTAGGGTGATGCTTTCCAATCACTCATCCAGTCTCGGGCAGGCTCCTTCTCCCAGCCAGCCACCTGATGGGGAGAATTAGTCTTATTTCACAGATAAACAAACTGAGGCCTGGAAGAGTCGAGCAACCACCTGCTAAATAAGCATACAGGTAACCGGGGAAATAGTCAGCACCCAGCAGGCTGGTCTTACCCAGGATCTTTTTCACTTTATGACAGCATTTAGCAACAGAGAACTGGTGACCCTGACCATTGCGCTGAATGGGTGGGTATCCAGCGAGGTAGCTCCAGTTACCAGCTCTGCGGTTCTCCACCATTTGTCAAACTTGTCCCAGTTGTTTCCCATCTGGAGCTCTGGCATGATGGCACTTCTGAAGGGTTTTCCTGCTGAGCCTGTCCCCTCTCCCTCTCCATCCCTCTGCTCAACCCGCTGGGCTCTGGGGCTCTTCTAACAGGCAGGACCTAACCCTTCTCAGCATGCTGCTCCCTCAGCCTGAAAGTCTTTCCTCCTCGTAGCTCTGCTCAGAGACCTCCTTGGTATCCTGGCAGAAACTGGTCCTATGCCACCACCCTGGATGCCACTCAGCCTGTGGTTTTCTCCCTTACACGCCCACCAGATCCCACTCCCAGCCTCTTGCAGCAGAGGGGGAGGCTTTGTTTCATTTGCTGTTGTTTCCCAGCCAAGGCACTTGACTAAGGCCACCCCGAGTTAGCAAGCCCATAGAAGCCCATGCCAGACCTCTGCGCTTCCATGGCCTATGCGTACCCTTGGCAGCTCAGAATGGGAGCCCTGTCTCTCTAGCCATCTGGTGGCCGGATTGGTTCTAAGCATACCTGCTCCCAAGTCAACCAGACAGCAAGGCCAAGGCAGATTGTATTCACAACTATACAAATGGGCTGCAGGCAACCTTCCTCCTATACAACGAATTCTGAAGAAGGGCACTGGATTCCATGGGCCCTTTTCTCCAGCACCCTGGAGCTGACAGGCAATGGGAAACCAGGCCTAGGCTTGGCAAAACCTTTCAGGGGCTCCAAGCCGAGTGCCAGGTCCCTGCCAGCTTCATTCTCCCAAACAGCCTCCAATTGTCTCAGTGGCTCCCAAGTTCCCTGAAGTCCTTCCAGAAGGCACTCTCTCATGGGGACACACTCTCTCAAAGGGACCCTAGGCAGGCTGCTTCCTGCTGGACAGGCATGGTGGTCCCAGCCTCATAGGAGTCCCAGGATTTGCACACCCCGTTGAGAACTCACAACCCAGGGCTTGGCAAGAAAAGAGACCCAGAGCAGGCCACTGCTCTTGGCATTTGTATGCAGGTGCTGGCCCCGAACAAGAGCTAGACTCCATCAGCACAAGATTAAGCCCTCATGGAAATCAACCTTAAGAAGACAAATCCAGGCAAGGGGAACCACCTGCACCCTCTGGCTGGTAGAGAATGTTCCATTCTTAGGCCACAACCCAACCGTCATCTGTAGGGTTTCCTCAGGGCTCAGATAGCTAGGCAAAGATTCATTTATCACCCATGGCAGTGCTCTACACCCAGCGACTGAGCGAGCATCTGTATCAGAATACAGTACCAAAAGCTTTCTAAAAGGCTCAGCCCAGTGCTCTCCTAATGGACTTGGTTTGTACATTAGTTACTTTTCTGTTGCTCTGACAAAAGCAGTTTAAGGAAGGGGGTGGTTGTTTTGGCTACCATCTTCCACGGCAGGGAAATAGTGGTGACGGAAGCCGGAGGATGACTGGTCACATTGTATCCACAGTTAGGACGGAGAGAGAGGAAGTTAACCGGCTGCTGGGTTCCCCTTTTACTCATTCTGAAACTCTAACCCGTAGGATGGTGCTGCCCACTGTTGGAATGGTTCTCATCTCAATTAATCCCCTCAGAGGACTCCCTCACAGACGTCCCCAGAGGTCTGTCTGTCTCAACTATCTACATCGAACATCACGGCTAGTCTACATTCTTTTGACATGGTCCTGGCTGATTCTGAAACATACTCGAGTGTGAGAACCACTTAGAGACTGGTTGTGACATAGCAGAAGGAACTTGTCATTTGTTAAGTAAACAGACCCTTAGTGGGGGCCGTCCATGTGGGATCTGGGGCCAGCGATAAAAATGTGCTTAGTCGGCATGGACAATGTGCTACGATTTCTCTGACGTTTTCACACCCATCGCCTTCTTGCTACAACTCCTCGCAGGAATTTAGCAGATGAGAACCGCTGCATGAAGCTGCTCAGCTGAAAGATGGCAGAGCCAGGTTGTGAACCCAGGTGAAGGCCCCAGAGCCTGGCCCTTTACTGTTCTAGCGCTTCATCTTGAAACCCCCAGTCTGGTGGGAAAAGAAGAAGAAACACTGTTGATATTCAAGGGAACATGTCCCCAGGAAGGGGCCCTGCGTGGGCTGGGGAGGCACAAGGGGTCCGTCCCTAGCCAATAGCAAGGAACCTGCTGGAGTTTGGGAACCCACTCCATAGAGCACTTGGTATTCTTGCAGAGGACCTGGGTTGGGTTCACAGCCTACCCATCGTAGCTCACAACCATTTTTAACTCTAGTTCCAGGGGTCCTAAGGCCCTCCCTCTGACCTCTGTAGACACCAAACACATATGTGATACGGATACATACAAGCAAGCAAAAACACTCATACATATACATAAAATGAAATATGAGTCTAAAAGAAAGGAAGGAGGGAAGGAAGAGAGAAAGAGGAAGGAAGAGGAGTCTGATGAAATCCTTCTTTAAATAAGGACCCCGAGAGTTGGTCTTCAGACAGGTAAGAGCGAACTGTGCAGATGTGACGGGAATGGCATTCTCTGCAAAGGGAGGAGCTCCACAAAGATGGACAGTTCTGTTCCCTGAAATGCCATGTGACAGTCACACAGATTCAGGGTAGATCCTCATGACATGGAGGCTGAAGGGATGGTTTGCAGCGCCCAAAACAACAGAGGAGCCACTGAAGTCTGGAGGACACAGTCTTGTCACTAGGAAAACCACCTGGGGTACAGCTCGGCTCCATTGGAGCAGAGACTGAAGGGAGGCTGGCAGGACCCAGCTGAGCAGTGACGGTGA